CTAATTATATTTTTTTATTTTAATAATTATTTTTGGACTTACATATCAAAAACCGTATATAAAAGGGACTAAATATAAAAAAAAAACGTTTTATTTGAAAACGCTTAATTTTTTATCTTAAAATTTGTTTTATATTTATTAAAATCTGTAGATAATGAAAAGCAAAAAAACGTTCAGTAAAAAAGCTTCTTTTTATCAAATAGAAAAATAATTTCTTAAAAAGTGTCAAATAAATTAACATGGAAAAAAATATTTTCATTAAAAAATGATGTTTTCTGAACTTATTTTTATTGAAAATGTAGTAAAGGGTAGTTAAAAAAATATGTGGAAAATAATTTGTTTAATTTAATTATACTTTTTTTCGGAAAAAAATATTTTTACTGTACTTTTAACCATTTTTAGTAAAGGTAGTTAAAAAAACAAGTATACAATAATTTTTGAAACGTAATTATAATTTTTTTTTAATTTGAAATAAATAAAAAAATATTTAAAAAATCGATCATAATATTTTACTGAAGCTAGAGATTTCAATAGGTTTGCATTATATATTTGCATGTAAATAGAATTTTTTAAGGTACCTAGGGTGCTTGTTTGTGTTGTAATTTCATTTTTAATTCTTTTTTGTTTCGTTTAATATGACAATGAACTACATAATTCCAACTGCTGGGGTTAATTTTTTTTTGGTTTGTTTATTAATTGCGTATGGATGTTTTAATTATTTCTTATATGAAGCTGTACTATTTTTAGCTAACGTCTTAGCGACTATTTATGTATTTATGTATGTTTGTGGTTTAATTGGAAATATTTTTCTAAAAGCTGTGTGTGTTAAAGCTGAATGGAAATTGTTCAGGATGATTAACATGCATGGATGCTTTCGACTCGACTTCTATATGATTGAGTTTTTATTTAGCTATTTTTCGTTAGTTCTAAACAAATACTTTCGGTTGTTAGTGGAGAAAGTAGACCTTGAACGGTGATTAGGTGGATTCCGAGTTAATATATTATTTGCATAAGCAGTTATTATTGTTTTCTTAAAAAGTGTTAGCTGAAATTTGAGGTTAGTTTACAACGAGTTGAAGCATTATTTTAATTCACCCCATAACGCGCTTGAGTATAGAATCGAAGAAAATAATGAGGAAATTACAAACATTTATAAATACTAATCATATGATTATTCGTATGACTGGTCGGTCAGTGGACCATCACATAATACGTGATTAGATGACGTCTTGTCAAAACAAATAGGCAACAACAATTGGTATTGTGTTTACAGTAACCCTTAAAAATATTGTATGTATTTAGAAATCTTCAACTTTTGGATGACAGGTATAATATTAAACTATAAAAGGGGTGTTACAACATTCAGAGACTTCAAACAAATTTTAAATCAGTTCAGAAGAAAGAGAAAAGCAAAGTTACAGGTTAGAAATCATGCTGAGTAGCTCAAATTTAATATCGTACTAGAAAATAAAGATCTGTATTACTATCATGGTGAGTATAGACAATGGTGATAGAGATAGCTAGAGTGGGAGTTTCAATTTATGAGTTTAGAGAAAATAACTGCCCAACAAATGACTAAAAAGCACAATAGTGATAAAAAAAATGAGTAAAATAGATATATAAAACAAAAACTTGTACGTATACGCACCAACTGATCAAATTTGATACGAATCAAAAAAATTACAAATTTCTATTTTAATAGACTTTTTTTTTATT